TCCAAACTTGTCTATGTGTGAGGATCACCTGGAGAGCTTAAAAGAAATTATTGGTGCTTATATTTTAACCTGGGGCTATGGCATGGGCTTTGGAATTTTTAAATGATTCTAATGTAAGGCAAGTTTGGAAACTGTTGAATTGGTAAAATAAAAATCTAGCGAGTTTGGGTGGTGTCTGCAATTTAAGGAGTAGGGCCCTAGCCTCATGTACTGGAGGTGGTGGGTTCAAACCCAGCCGTGGCCAAAAACTGCCAGAAAAAAAAATCTAGGGAGTTTTTTTTTTAAATCATAACAAGCTTTTTTTGGTCATTGTTTATGGTGAACATGTCTTGCTCTGTAAATCTTTTGCTCAGTAAACTTTGTTTCATCTTGCCTTGCCAAAAAAACCCCCAAAAAACTAAGAATTAAGATGAGTAGGGATTTTTTTATTGTTGTAAAATATACACAACAAAGTTTACCAGTTTTCAGTGTATAATTCATTGGTATCAAGTACATTTATATTGTTTGTATCCATCACCACTATCTGCAGAACTTTTTCATCATCCCAAACTGAAAATCTACCCACAAAACAATAACTCCTCATTTTTCTTGCTCCAAGTTCTTGGTAACCACTATTCTACTTTTTCTTTCTTTCTTTTTTTTTTTGCAGTTTTTGGCCGGGGCCAGGTTTGAACCCGCCACCTCCAATATGGGGCTGGCGCCCTACTCCTTGAGCCACAGGCGCTGCCCCCCCCTTCTACCTTTTCCCTATGGATTTGTCATATAAGTGGAATCATACAATATTTGTCCTTTTGTGTCTGGCTTATTTTACTTAGCATAATGTCTTTAAGGTTCATTCATGTTGTAGCATGTAATAGGATTTCCCTTTTTAAAACTAATCCATTCTATGATAAACCACATGTTTTTTTATTTATTCATTGATGGATTTGTGGGTTGTTTCTACTTTTTGCCTATTATGAATAATGCTGCTGTAAACAGGCAACTTTAAAAAACATACTTACATATGTCTTGGTAGAAGGAGCAAAATTTTTCAGTGTTTAAAGGAGAATTACTAACTAAAAATTCTGTGTCAAGGACAACATTAATGAAGAGGTAGTTGCACATGGCACAAGCCTGTAATCCCAGGTACTCAAGAGGCTGAGGCAGGAGAATTGCTTGAGCCCAGGAGTGCCAAGAGTATGAGATTGCAGTGAGCTGTGATGATACCACTGGGCTAGAGCCCAGGTGCTAGAACAAGACCTGTCTCAAAAAAATAAAAAAAAGTTTAAAGTATCTAGATTATCTTCATAAGACGTTCTTGTAGCCTTCTATACTTATTTTTTATTCTAGCACTTACCATAATTGTAATCAATCCTGTGCCTAGCATGGTGCCATGTGCTTCATTGAAAATGTTTGTTGAATAAAAGAATAGCACTTAGTTTTTACTTGGTGGCTTAGTATATAGTATATATGAATCTGAATATAATGCTAAATTTAATGCAGAGTTCTTTTAAATGTGTGTGGTTTTTTGTTTGTGTTTTGAGCATTTGGAGTTTGGTTTGTATTAGGTTTTATTGTGTGTTTTGCAGTACAGGTACTTCACCGTTGCTGGGAAATACTGCTGGATTGCAGTAGTACAGCTGAACTTCTTACTTTAAAGGAGCAGTAGCAATTGTGTGTTTCTGAGTGGACAGTTTCAAAATTGTTATTAGTTAACAGTTTATTAACTCATATTGACTTGATGATTATTTTAGATTATACCCTTTTTCCAAAGAGATTGTATGTAAGTTTTTTTTCTTTCTTTCTTTCTTTCTTTTTTTTTTTTTTTTTGAGACGGGCTCTCACTTTGTTGCCCCTGGCAGAGTGCTATAGCATCACAGCTCACAGCAATCTCAAACTCTTGAGCTCAAGCAATTCTTTTGTCTCACCCTCCCAAGTAGCAGGGACTAAGGCGTCCACCACAACGCCTGGCTATTTTTAGAGACAGGGTCTTGCTCTTGCTTAGGCTGATCTCAAACCTGTGAGCTCAAGCAATCCAACCAGCCTTGGCCTCCCAGAGTGTTGGTATTACAAGCTTGAGCCACCATGACGGGCCTTGTATAAAACCTTTATAATTCTTCAACCAATAGCTAGCTATTTCAATAAAATTAACATTTTATTCAGAGGAGCAACAAGTTTAATTGACTCCTTTTCACTGGTCAAATGCAGTATGTTATCTTGACTTGGATCCTGGCACAGAAAATGGGCATCAGTGGAAAATCCAAATAAAAACTGGAGTTTAGTTAATAGTAGTCTATCAACATTAATTATATGTCTGACACATGTAGCATGGTGGTTCTAAGATGTTCATTAATGTTAGGGGAAGCAAGCCAGGTGCAGTGGCTTTTGCTTATAATCTCAGCTATTCAAAAGGCCAACGTGGGAAAATTTCTTGAAGGCAGGAGTTCAAGACTAGCTTGGGCAACATAGCCAGACCCTGTCTCAAAAGGACTGAAAACACTAGGGGAAACTGGGTGAAAGGTATATGGGAAATCATGGGCTATCTTTGCAACTTTTCTGTCAACTTAAAATCATTCATAAATGAAAACTTTATTAAATAACAATAAAAGCTTTTGGAGTGATGCTATTGGAGTAATCATTGACAAATGTATAGAATTCACAGTTTTTTACAGTTGAAAATAGTACAACTTAAAACAGAATGGTAGTATAAATTTTAAAAACCCTAAAGATTACTGCCCAAATACCTCACTCAGTCCCATTCCCAGAAGTAACCAGATTGTTTTATTTTTTAACTTTCTGTTTAGTTCTAGTGGTAGTTGCTACCATAATTCCAGAAGTACTTATACCACAGTATAAGTACTATCCACTTAGAAAAGTGTCTAGTGATTTCTTGTCATGAAAAATAAGGTTTATCTTTTTAGTTATAATAAGATAATTAGTTTTCTATCTCTTCAATTTTTAAATTTTCATTTATTTATTTATTTATTGAGGCAGTGTCTTGCTTTGTCACCCTGGGTAGAGCACAGTAGTGTCATGATTAGCTCACTGTTACCTCAAGCTCCTGGGCTTAAGTGATCCTCTTGCCTCAACCTCACCAGTAGCTAAGATTATAGGTGTGGGCCAGGATGCCTGGCTAATTTTTCTATTTTTAGTAGAGATAGGTGTTCATTCTTGCTCAGGCTGGTTTTGAACTCTTGAACTCAATCAGTGCTAGGATTACAGGTGTGAGCCACTGTGCCTGCCCTAAAATTTTATTCCTTTTTTTTTTTTTTTAAGACAAGTTTTACTTTGTCACTCCTGGTAGAGTGCTCTGGCATCATAGTTCACAGCAACTTCAAAGTCTTGGGCTCAAGCGATCCTCTTGCCTCAGCCTTCCAAGTAGCTGGGACTAGAGACTCCCGCCACAGTGCCAGCTATTTTTTGAGATGGGGTCTTGCTCTTGCTCAGGCTGTTCTCAAACTCCTGAGCCAAGCAGTTCACCTACCTTGGCCTCCCATAGTACTAGGATTACAGCGCATAAGCCACCATGCCTGGCCAATAAAATTTTATTTCTATTTAAAAACCTTTTTTTTAGTCTAGTCAGGTGCAATAATGAAAAGCAGTGAAAGAGTAGAATAAAGATTAGATTTCATACTGAAAAATCAATTGAGATAGCTCATTAACTTTGGACCAGTTTCTTGGTTAGTTTTATAACTTGAGTAATATGCTCAAATTTTATTTCTTATTCTGTCAACTTCATACATTGTCTCTTGACAACTTTAGATATATAAAGTGAAGAAATTCTCAGTTTGATGTTGCTGTTCACCTCTTTTCTACCATCTGTTTTCCCGCTTCTATTAGCTCTGGCATTACTTTTACTATAACTTAATTTAAATTCAGTATGCCCTGCCTCGTCCAGAAAAAATTTAGGAGGGATTATACATATATTCATCAAGTTTTGAGTTTGTTAATGGTCATAATTTAAAGAACTGGTTCTTGAAGATGAATTTTTTTTTTTTGCAGTTTTGGCCAGGGCTGGGTTTGAACCCGCCACCTCCAGCATATGGGGTTGGTGCCCTACTCCTTTGAGCCACAGGCACTGCCCTTTAAGATGAATTTTTAAGATAAGTGTGTGGAGAAGGAATAACTGGGTTCTTAGTGTACGATTTCATTCTTTTCTGGGCTACATGATTTTTCTAAGTTGTGTATCTTCAGGGTACATCTGCTGGGAACTTTTATTTTCCAGCCTGTATATCTAGCTATACCTAAATTTCGTAAGATTTACTATTTTGCATGTATCCTTGATTCAAGGAGATGCCATCAACTGTAAGATCCATCTTTGCTTTAAAATAACTTTGTTGGTTGAGAAGAGATCGTATTAAGTAATTGATTAGATACAGCCCAATTACAGAAATAATAAAAATCAAAACATATATTTGTATTTAGTTTCTTATGTAGAGGGGAAGTAAGCAAAAATAAAAATTAGTTACCATTAATTCTGTTGCCTACCTAGACTTTTTTAACCCAAGAAAACTTTGTCTTTTAAAAAAAAATTGGGAGCCAGATATGGTGACACATGCCTATAATTAGGTCCAGCTATTTAGGAGGCTGAAGTGAAATGATTCACTGAACCCTAAGAGTTAGAAGCCAACCTCAGCAACATAGCAAGACCCCATCTTTTAAAAGAAAAAGGAAAAATTGAGACCATACTATTTTGGTAGGCTACCCTTTTGTATTAAGCCCACCCTTCTACCTTAGTTTATTTTTGTGGCTTTATAGTAATTACATATCTGGGTGTTCCTAAATTGTTTAACTGGTTTCTATATTTACAGCCTTTTGTGTTATAATTGGTTCTAAGAAGAACATTTCTTACAGCTAAATCTTTACTTATATTCATGATTTTTTTTCTTCAGATGATGGAGTAGAATTTCTGGATTAAACAGTATGCATTTTTGTGGTATAACTTCTTATTTAAGAACAGGTTAACTTAATTTTTGGCCTTTGATCATCACTAAAATATATAACTTTTTCTTCTTTATTAGTGAACACTTGTCCTGCTCTTTCACCTTTTTCTTGCATGGAGACAGCAATGTTTGTACCAGTGTGGAAATTAACCAACATCAACCTGTATATCTTCTCAGTGAAGAGCATATCACCCTTGCTCAACAGTCTAATAGTCCATTTCAAGGTAGAACATTTTATTGTCTTAGGTATTTGACCTTTTATTGTTGTTTCAAGAAGATCCTTATTGAAGTTGGTAATTTTACATTTTGGGATTGACAGGATTTTTGTCTGATCTTTGAGCTTAACGATTTTGTTATAGTTTTTACTTTTAGCTTCCCTATTAGGATATTACGTCAACAGAATAAGTATTTTAATGCAAGTAATATTTAAAAAATTCTCAAACATGCATGGTAACATAGTTTGAAGTATTCCCTTACATAGCATATTACGTGTTAATGTTTTCAAGGTCATTTTATGTGTCAAGTCATATAAGCCAGGTTTAATGTGGGTCCACAGTAACTATTGATACTATTTATGCCATGAGAATGATTGAATTCTAGAGGAAGTATTTTATAACATTACTGAATTATTTTTAAGGACTAAGCATTATGTTCTTTATTTTAAACCTAGTGTTTGATTTTTTAAAATGTATGTAGCAGTACATTATATGTACTTAGATTTATATATCCATGTTGTTTTTTTCCCAAAATACTTTTCCTTAGTGGGAGTCAGCTAAGTTGAAGGTTATATAAATAACCCCAGTTATCTACTTGAGAGTTTGGGGTAGATAGTTTTTTTTTTGGTGGCAGGGCATGAGGAGATAAATTATTAATTAACAGTTTTTATAATAAACTCTGTGTTGCTTTATCGTCACAATAATGAAGTATAATAAATTGATTTTTCTCTGGAGTGATCATTATGGGTTTTCTTTCTTTTTTAGAATTCATAATTACTTACCTCACTGTTCAATGTAATTTTATTTGGTGTAACAGTCCTTAGTTACTTAATTGATGTTTGTTTTGGGTTTCTAGTTATCTTAAGCCCATTTGGACTAAATGGCACTCTCACAGGACAGGCATTCAAGATGTCTGATTCAGCTACAAAAAAATTGATTGGTGAATGGAAACAGTTCTATCCTATCTCGTGTTGCTTGAAGGAGATGTCTGAAGAAAAACAGGAAGATATGGATTGGGAAGATGATTCTTTAGCTGCAGTAGAAGTTCTTGTTGGTATGGATTCTGAATATTAATCCGAAGGGAAAATAGATGACTATAGATATTAGTTAGATTTTCCTGAACTTCTGAAGCATTCAACACCAAACTTTTCTTTCTTTCTTTCTTTCTTTTTTTTTTTTTTGTAGTTTTTGGCTGAGGGCAGGGTTTGAACCCACCACTTCTGGTATATGGGGCTGGTGCCCTATTCCCCAGGCGCTGCCCCGAACATTTATTACTTGTTCATTTCCTGCTTTCATTGAGTAAGGGCTGCATTGTGGCTCTGGTTTGGCTCAATGTATCTTCCCATTCCCTAACCTAGGTTAAAGGAATACCCAGTATCTGGGACATGCTGTTCTTATGAGAACAAAAGAATAATAGGGTTCAAGCCTAAACACGTAAGTGTGTTTAAAGCTTCTATTGGGATTTGGTGTATGTTGTATCTGCTCATGTTGCATTAGGCAAAACTAGTTACCATGGCCAAACCATAGTCATTGGAGTAGGAAAATAGATTCTGTTTAGAAGGAAACATGCAAGGGTTAAACAGGAATAAGTGTGGGAGGTTGGAAAGTTTACAGCTGTGTTATGCAGTGTCTTAACATTTGGTGAAATTGTCACTTCACTAATTGAAAAGGCAGAAAATGGGCTGGGTGCAGTAGCTCACACCTATAATCTTAGCACTCTGGGAAGCTGAGGCAGAAGGATCCCTTTAGCTCAAGAGTTCAAGACCAGCTTGAGCAAGAGCAAAACCCTTGTCTCTACCAAAAATAGAAAAAATTACTCGAATACTGTTGCAGATACCTATAGATCCAACTACTTGGGAAGCTGAGGCAGGAGGATCGCTTAAGCCCGGGAATTTGAAGTTGCTAATGCCATGACACTCTAGCCTGGGGCAACAGAGTGAGGCTCTGTCTCCAAAAAGAAAAAAGAGGGTAGAAAATGTACCTAAAGACTATAGCTTTGATATGCTTTGCCTGGGTCAGCTTTTTTCAGATTGTTTGTATTGTATATGTCTCGTCATTTAGGGACCCAAAGTAACTCATGTCTCTGATGTACTAATCTCAGAAGTGAGAGAGGCTGCCTGCCCTGATCCTGCAAGCACATTTAAAGTTCTGTTAGGATTTGGCATTTATCTCATGCACTTATATAGCCAAGCCTGAAAATGGGGTGAAGATATACATTCTATCTTAGACATTGGAGGCATAGAGAATATATAATATAGCAGATAATTAGAATTAGAATCCATAGTACTGTGTTTAATGGAATCTAATGGCAATGTATATATGAAGATTGCCTCATTTCTTAAATGTGGGTTACCAGTGTTTAATTTCAGTGCACACATTACTACCAGAGCACTTACAACAAAAACAGAAACAAAACATATTTATTAGACTTTTAAAATAGAGGTATATATTGAAGATAGAAAGTGATGCATAATTCTAGCACCCAGATTACCTTTGTTAAACTTGTAAAATAAAATTTAAAAAGTAATACATATTATATACTAATTGTTCAAATGTGCAAATAAAGATTTTTTTAAAACTCAAACACATTTGTAGAAAATCTAAAAATGAAAAGAGAAAGTTCTTCTAAGTCTCTGGCCAAAGATAACCACTATAGACAGCTTACTGTGGTTTCCTACCAGAAGGAAAAAAAAGATAGCCTTAGGCCAGAAGAACATGTATTTATGAAAATATGTTTTTTATTTATACAAATGTGATATATCTTCTTTCCCATTATAGTACTTTTGAGTGAAACTAATTTCACTACAGTCACAACAGTAATTAATTTTTCTGTCCACTTTTTTTTTTTAGCTGGTGTTAGAATGATCTACCCAGCATGCTTTGTTCTAGTCCCTCAGTCAGACATTCCTACTCCTAGCTCTGTGGGATCCTCTCACTGTTCAACTTCTTGCTTGGGTGTCCACCAAGTGCCTGCTTCCACAAGAGATCCTGCTATGTCTTCAGTTACTCTTACACCCCCGACATCTCCTGAGGAAGTCCAAACAGGTATTGTACTAATTTATTTCATCAGCTCTGGTTATCTCTTATTTTGAATACAGCAAACACTTAAAAAATAATTTATTTAAAAATAGTTTCAAACTTCTTGAAAAGTTGCAAGTGGAGTTCAAAGAATTCCCCCACTCAGATTTCCAAACTGTTAACATGTCCTTTATCACCCTCCCTGTGTTTATTCATTATCATTTATCTTTTTCTGAACCGTATGAGAATAAACTACAGACGTGATGCTCCATCACTCCTCTATACTTTCTGCATTTCCCAAAACTAAGTATAATATCCTACCAACCATTATTTGATCCTCCAAGTCAAGAAGTTAGCAGTTTGGATCCCTCGTTTTAGATTTTTCACTTTCTATATTTCAAATGATATATTTTTAGAGAGATGTGGTAATTTGTGCCTATAATCCCAACTACTCTGGAGGCTGAGGTGGGAAGATTGCTTGAGGGTGGAGTTAGAAACTAGCCTAGGCAACATACCAAAACCCTCACCTCTTAAAAAAAAAAAATGGAAAAACTAGCCAAATACAGTGAGTGACCTGTGCATATAGTTCCTATCAGCTAAAGGAGTCAGGAGTTCAAGCTTTCAGTGAGCTATGGTCATGCCACTGCACTCTAACTGGGTAAAAGAGTAGGACCCCTGTCTCTTAAATAAATAAGGTAGCATACCATGCCTCAAAATACAGACTTACCAGATACCTGGAGCAAGTTGTATCACATATTAAATTATAAAGACCCAAGTCTTTAAACCTTTATTTTCCTACAGCATATTCTTTTTTGTTTGTTTTTAGTTGATCCTCAGTCTGCCCAGAAGTGGGTCAAATTTTCTTCAGTATCTGATGGCTTCAACTCTGATAATACTAGCCACCATGGAGGAAAAATACCCAGAAAATTAGCAAATCATGTAGTTGATAGAGTTTGGCAAGAATGCAATATGAACAGAGCACAGAACAAGTATGTATTTTCTTTTTCAAGTGCAAAAATTGCATGTTGGTAATTATAATTAAAAGATATTTAAAGTATACAGTCATTTGTATTCTTTAATTAAAAACTGATTTTTAAAATTTTAATGCTAAATTCATGTTTAATAAAAATTTTTATGAATTCTGAAGAATCTTACAATTTTGAATCTTAGGAGGAAGTATTCTGCTTCGTCAGGTGGTCTCTGTGAAGAAGAGATAGCTGATAAAGTGGCATCCTGGGATTTTGTCGAAGCCACACAAAGAACAAATTGCAGTTGTTTGAGGTAGATTTTTTTTCCCAATTGATTGCCTGTGTGTGATTGCCCCTCTTTATTTGAGGTAGTTTACATAACACAGTATGTTAGAATTATTTTAAAAAGAAAACTAAGAAAGAAAAATTTGATCATTTGAAGCTGAGAGTTCTTACGCTGTTACCAGAGTGTTACTCTGAATGTTTTGTTTCTGGGTAGCCAAATAAAAGGGAATTCTATGTTGGGTTATGTACCATATAGCATCCATAAGGTAAAAGGCACACAGTTTCTTGAGAAAAGCCTTCCTTGATGTGGCTGCCTGACAGATTTCTCCCCAGGGTCCTTATAAAAGAGATGATATATAGATAACAAATTCTACAATCTTTTTTTTTTAATATAGTAGTGTTGGATTTTGTGTAGTAATTGCTTATAACATTTTTTTTAGCAGCTGTAGAGGAAATGCTGAAATAAAAGTCAGAAATTATGATTCTACAGGGGAGCAAAGCTCTGCTGTCAAACTTTCAGATAGACTAAATTGGTTTAAAACTTGGTAAAAGAATAGATGAACTTGGAATTCTAATTCTTTAGACTGTTTATATATTGGGGCCTTTTGATGAGATTTGGTTTTTATTGTCTAGAGTTTACTATTCTGCAGAGAAAAGGTACATCATATGCTTTTGCAGTAAAGTGAACAAAAGTGGCCTTACATCCCTACCTAGGACTTAAGATTGAATAGATTCACCCTTCTTTATCATGGAAGTGAGCTAAAGGAATGGAGTACCTGTAGGTTAGGGCCAGTGTGGTTTTTTTTTTTTTTTTTTTTACATTAGCTCTATTTGTTTGAATACATTGTGACAGACTCTCAAGTGTTCTGATACTTTTTTGCATAGATTTACTGTTCTTAAATAGACACTTTGTATTAAAGAATGTATAATTTTTTAAGATCTGGCAATTTTGTTGAAAACTTGAGTCTGGTTGATAGATTGGAAAATAGAGACAAATTAGTCCCTGTTTAATAGTTTAAAATTAAAACTACACCCAGTCTTAAATATAATTTATGCAATCTGAGGGATCTGCAAACTGATCAGTAGGCCATATTGGGCTCTCTACCTGTTTACGGGCTATGAGCTGAAAATGACTTTTACAGTTTCAGAAGGTTGAAAAATGTTAAAGATTATTTTGTGACACATGAAAATTGGGAAATTAAAATTTTAGTATCCATAAATAAGGATTTAGTGGAATGTAGCCACATCTATTTATTTAGATAGATGCTTGGAGTAGTTGCGGCACAGATTGTATGGCCTGAAATATGTACTGTCTGGTTCCCTAGGGAAGTGTTTGCCAGTCCCTGGTCTAAGACCAAGACCAGATGAATGCTTAAATGAAATTATGCTTTTCTTTCCTTCTATTGGCGTTTTTATCAAATAGCTCTTCTTTTTTAGTTCCTAATGTAGACTTTTGCTTTGTCCTTTTTGAAAAGGTATGGATTTTAAGTATTTTGTCTAAAATGGTTTTAGAAGCTAACACTCAAAAATACATAGGTTGGTGGCCAGGCGTCATGGCTCACGCTGGTAATCCTAGGACTGAAGGAAGCTATTTGGGAAGCTGAGGCAAGAGAATCGCTTAAGCCCAAAGGTTTGAGGTTGCTGTGAGCTGTGACACCACAACACTCTACCCAGGGCGACATAGTGAGACTCTGTCTCAAAAAAAAAAAAGAAAAAAGAAAGACAAACTGGGCCCTGACTGATAATATTAGCTTTTCTTGAAAAAAAAAATTTTTTTTTTTTAATTTGGAGACAGGGTCTTGCTGTGTTACCTGGACTAGAGTGCAGTGTCATCATCATAGTTCCTACAACCTCAAACTCCTGGGCTCACTTGACCCTCCTGCCTCACCCTCCTGAGGAGCTGGAACTATAGGTGTCCACCACCATGCCCAGCTAGTTTTTCTATTTTCTGTAGAGGTGGAAGTCTTACTCTTGCTCAGGCTGGCCTTGACCTCCAGACATCAAGCAGCTCTCCTGCCTCAGCCTTCCAGAGTGCTGGGATTGTGGGCAAGAGTCACTTGTGCCTACTTCTTAAAATTGTTTTTGGAAAAAAAAATTACACAAGCAGTTTGCATAAATAAATATTATTTTACAAAGTTTAAATTATACAAATAAAGGCAAAGTTCCCTTTGACTATTCTCTCTCTCCCCAATTCCTACTCCCTCTTCCTAGAAGTAGGTGCTTGCTGGTTAGAAATTATTCTTCCACACAAATACTATTTTGATGCAAAACTTTTTTTTTTTTTTTTTTTTTTTTTTGCCAGGGCTGGGTTTGAACCTGCCACCTCGGGCATAGAAATACTATTTTGATGTATTTGGCAGCTTATTTTTTTCCACTTAATGTGCATTAGATCTTTCTATATTAGTTACTTCTGGATTTGCCTCATTGTTTTGAAAAAATGTCTTGGTATTTCACTGAGTGTGGAAATACCATAGTTTATTTAATCATTCCAGGTTTGATGGACCTACTAGTGTTTCCAGAGGTTTTTTGCTTGTGTTACTTTTAAATATATATGTATATTGTCAATTATTTATTAGATTGTCAATTATTTATTAGATTTTTTGAACACTTACTCTGTGATAGACTCAGAATACATTAGTAAATAAGGTTCTTGTTATTAGGACGCCTGCACTCTGATTGGAAGTGAGGCAGATTGTTTTTAAGGAAGTTTTTAAGTCGTTTTTAAATATGAGAGTGAGCGCCAACAAGGAAATAAACCAGATGGGTGATATGGTGGAGATTTGGGGGTGAGAGGGCTATTTAAATATTTGTGACTTCACAAAAGATTCTACCAATTTTACTCCCACTTTTTGCATGTAAGTAATGTTAGTTTTTCCTGTGCTTCCACTGATCTTGAGAACTATCCTAAAAATTTTTTTTACCATTGTAGTGAGAAGCCTAAAATTGTTTAACTTGCATTTTTCTCAGTGAGATTGTATGGAGCACATTTATTGATACTAAACTTCAGTCTAGTGGAGTGTTTATTAGAAAATTGCACTTAGAAAGCAAGCTGCTTATGTAAAAAGTAATACATTAGATTTCAGATGTTATCACTAAAGTACTAGAGTCTTAAAGTCAATAGGAAAAGAGAATCTAAAGGAATCACTTTTGGCTTATGCTTTGAGGACAACACCTAGAAAGATTCTTCAGTTTGATCGAGTTCTAGCAAAAAATTCAGTTCACTCTAGCTTTTAGAAAAGTGTCTCTATAAAAGAAAAGGACTGTGATTTAATGCTGTCAAAATTTAGAGAGTGACTGCTATCAGTGTATAGCCCCAATTAATAGTTTTTGACTCTTACTGGCTGTTCACATCCCTTGTTTACTTGTGACATAACTAAATAGTTCACCTCAGATTAATGGTGATCCTATCTGTTCTTACTACTGCCTTGCATAAAGTAAACTAATTATCAAAATTTTTGGTCTCAGAACTTATTTACAGTCTTAAAAATTAGTAAGGACTCTAAAAAGTACTTTTATTTATATTTTAGAGAAATTTTAAAGCCCTACTTAATTTATTAAAAATAATAAGCCCAGTGCATGTTAGCATGAATAAAATATTTTTATAGTCAACAATTGTATTTTCCAAAAAAACCAAAAAAATTGCTTGAGTGGCATTGTTTACAGTTTTGCTAATTTCATTAAAGGTATTATGTTAAGCATAATAAGATAGTTGAATTCTCAGATGTGCTTCTGCATTCAGAATTGTTGGATATTGTTTTCGATGAAGTATATGGAGAAAATCCAGGCTCATGTAGCTGTGCAGTTGGAAAAGGGAGGAGAGTATTTTAATAGCTTTTCAGTTAATTGTAGATTTTTTTTTGATACTACACTAAGTGACAGTTTCTCAAAGATTAGTTGCAATATGAAGTCTGAAGCCATATTAGTACTCCAATTTTGTACTCCTCTAATAACTGAACGGATCTTTTACTCTTGATTGATATTATAATATCATATTATAAATTCAGAAAATATTGGTTACTGGGTAATGCAGATCACGTAAATGATGGCACATTTTCTCATATATGGTTGTCCTTTGGTATCCACAGAGTATTGGTCCAGGACCCCCTCAGATACCAAAATCTGTGGATGCTCACATCCTTTTTAAAAAGTGGTGTGGTATTATTTGCAACCCATGCACATCCCTATACTTTAAATTATTTCTAAATTACTTATAATACCTAATACAATGTAAATGCTATGTAAGTAGTTGTTCTGTATTGTTTCTAAATTTTTATTTTTATCTTTCTTAATGTTTTCCACCTCCAATTGTTCAAAGATGTGGATACTTGCAGATACAGGTGGCCAGCTGTAGTATCCAAAAATTTCATTCATTAATGCTACTAATGATGTTATCAGAAAAGTATTTAAGTATTAGAAAGCTGTCATGCTCATGGAGGCAGATACAATTTTCCAGATTTTTAAAATTTTGCTTACAGGTTCAAATTTATTAGTTGTTGTTCTTTAAAAAGACCACATTTTGTTCATTTTGAGAACATATGAATCAGGTATACCAAATGACCAAATCTGATAATTGTGATTTATCTACCATAATTATGATTTTGTTGCTTGTTGTTGGTTAGATGCAAATGGTGTTTCATGAAAAAAGTTCAGCTTGTACTTCAAACAATTGTACAAGTGCTTTTTTTCTAGTAGCCATTGTACTTCAGTTATGTAGCAGAAATGCTTTATATGTATTTTTTACACCTTATAAAAAGCCATGTTTGTAAGGATTGAGAGTTAATAAAAATTATTTTTACTGTTTTTCTGAAGGACATTCTTAAGTGAAACTGTCTTTAAAAAAAACCAAAACTGTGTGTGGTGATTAAGAAAATTACTACTAGTACATTTGGCACCACTGCCTTAATTCATGTTCAGTTGCCAGCAGTTGTACTGTCCTTTGCTTTTGCATAATTTTTCTAAATGTCAACAGAGAGAAAAAGGCAAATATGGTGCTAGTGTAAAAAAACAGTTTTAAACCCTGTAAAACCT